GCAGGAATTCCATAGTTTCTAATTAGTAGTGTTGGTTGTTAATAGATAGAGGTTAAGAGAGTTGTTAAGTTGTTAAGAAATTGTTGTTCGTAGAGTTGTTCAGAAATTGTCAAGTTGTTAAGAAATAGAGCTCAGTAGAGTTATTAAGAAACTCTTTGGACAATAAACCTTTTCCACTTGTCCTGTCCGGTTTGTTCAGTACAACCCCAGGGTGAGTTCCGATTTCACTATTCAACCTCAAGCGGAAGGAACTGATGTACTGCTAGTGGAACCATTTCTGAGAAAATCCCAATCTGGTTGCTTGGCCCTAGAGAGTAAAAGCCATGATGAAGTTTGGATGGTGCACTCACCAGAGCTGCTCTTCCCTATGACATCTATGAATGAGACAGCCTGTCTTCTGCACTGTCATTCTCCCAATGCTTTGACAGGAGACCAGGAGCTCACAAATGTTGGTACTCTTCAGGTGACACCACTTGGCCATAGAATCATGGCTCAGCTTTTACCAGGAGAGAGAACCCATTACCCAGTGACTGAAGAAATAACCTCTGATAAGAACATTTACCAAGGCCCGATTTAGCAAAGTCAATGTAACTGAAGCATCTGAAGTAGATGCTGCTTCATGCTGCCCACCCTTTTCACTGAGCATGGTGTTCATTTCTTGGTGAGACCTGGCTTGCCATGTATGCTGCGGAGGATGGTCCGCACTTTGCAGTTGTTTACATTAACCAGCATAAGAAATAAGGGTACATGTTTGTCAGCTAGTCCCCAGTAAACGTGCAGTGCACGGTCCCATCATGGAGAGATTGCCCAGATTAGGGCCCGAGATCAGAGATCTCAGGATGTGATTCCCCCATCCCAAGGTTTAACATCCAGATGAAGATGCCAACGTATTCAGCCAAGCTGGACCAGGGAAGCAGTGTTTCATCTCATGCCTTCTCCCGATCACATCCCGACACCACAGTGTCACTGGGGGACCCTCCTGCCCCAAAACGTGCCATGGCGGAAGACAAGGAGATGCTTGCAAGTGCTTACCAGTTTTATTAGCAGCCCCCACAGTCAGGCTGGTCACCCTGCCCTCCCCGGTGTCCCAGCTCACTTGGCAAAGCTCTGGGTGTCACAGCGAGGTCCCTGCCACTTGCCGTAGCACTGGCAGCTGAATTCCTGGGCCAGCCGGGAGACGTCATCGCCAGACTCCAAGCTCTGTGCCACCAGCCAGGGCTTGCCAGCTTTCAGGTCGATGGCGAAGCGGAAGGGGTCAAGGTGGAGGAAGCCCTGCTTGTTCTCCTGGCGCACACAGCGACCCCGGCCGGAGCACAGGCTCTGGCTGCACAGATCGGCGCTCGCCGTCACGTTGACGATGTAGTGGCCCAGGGGCCCCTCCACGTAGTCCTTCAGCCTCAGGCACATCTCCTGCAACATCATGCGGTGTCACAGCCATGCATGGCCAGGGAATGGGGGGTCCCCGCAAGCAGCGCCTTGTGCCACACTCACCTTGGAGGTGCTGTAGTTAAGGCTGCCCCAGAGGATGATGCCAGCAGCGCCCTGAGCCGCGCTCTCCCCTATGGTGTTCACCAGGTTCTCCTGCACCCAAGGGGAAAGGAGAAGTCAACAGTGCCCAAAGCCCCTGCGCCACCCGAGCAGAGCTAAAGACTTCCTGGTGCCAACCCATCAGCCCAAGAGGTGCCCACCACCCCCGTCACCTGGGAGAGGAAGTCAACGGTGCAGTCGAAGGCGATCTGGGAGTAGGGCAGGACAGGGACACTGTCGTTGAGGACACCACGCTGGACAGCAAAGGCCTCGGCCACACGGTGCCGGACATAGGCAAGTGCCTTGTTGGTGCCGTTGAAGAGGGGGGGCAGGTAGATGCTGGGGTAGAGCGCCCGGCTGCTCTTCCAGAGCCACTGCAGCTCCTTGTTCCTCTGCTGCTCCACCGTCGGGCACATCCCGGTGTAGGGCTGGCTGTCGAAGTCATTGTTGTAGCAGTTGGGGAAGCCATAGAAACCCCAGCAGCCATTGGGCCGGAGGGTCTCTCCCAGCTGCAGCGTCTGCTCCATGAAGGTGCGGGCGCTCTGCTCAAACTGCTGCTGGGCCACCTTCTTTACCAGGTCGGGGGTCCACTGTGGGTGCTGCTGCCGCACCAGCTCCTCTGACTTCTGCCGGTAGATGTCCATGGAGGCCCAGTTGCGGACCCACAGCGGGCGCCACTTCTCCCAGTCAATAACAGCCAGCCCATCATAGGCAGGGCTAGGCAAAGTGACCTTGATGTCCTGGGTGGCTTCATGAAGGTGAGCCTCCACGCTGGCATTTTGGGGGAGCCCCCCATTCACCGGGACCCCCTCAGAGGTGTAGTAGGGGAGCAGCCCCAGCTCCTTGCTGTAGAAGAGGGTGATGTCCTGCCCGATGAAGGACTGCTGGTCATTGGCCAACACGTCGAAGATCTCCAGGTTGAGGGTGACATTGTACTTCTTAGCGCAGCGCTCGGTGGGAATGTTCCAGACAGTGACGAAGGGGCGGTTGACGAGGACAGGGCCGGACCCCCCTGCACAGGCCATGAAGGGCAGGAGCAGCAGGAGGACCAAGCAGAACCACCCTGATGCCATGGTGCCGGTGGACTCAGGATGGGTCCCTGAGCTGCCCGAGGAGAGCCGAGACAGGCTGAGACAGGGGTAGACCTCGGTGCTTTTATCCCCAACCTGAGCTGGAGCCAGCGTTTAACCCACACCCCGGTTCCCAGGCGGTGCCAGTCACCAAGGGGTCACCTCTCCCACCTCCTCACATGAAGTTCCCAAAGTTATCTGGCCCTGGAGTCCTGCCAGCCCTGGTTAATGACCGCCGGCGGCAGGCCCGGCTGGGGAGGAATGCGCAGAGTCAACACCCGGTGACGGGGCTGGCGATGAGCTGGGCTGGAAAGACAAACAGACACGGGCAGAGTGGAAAGCAGGGGGGGGGGCAAGGTCACGGTGACGGACGCAGGCTGGGCCGACGGGTGCCGCTGGGGAAGCGTGTGGCACCAGCCATGGGATGGGCGGAGGAGGGCACTGCTGAGGGGAAGCTCACAGCAACGGGCACGA